GTATCCCTGCAGGTCATTCTTGAATTACTGCACTGCGTCCTGAACTACATTCCAAGCATTCTAGCTGGCTTGTTGATTTCGTTCGATCATAATCTTATTGCTTTTCTTCTTCCTGGAAAAGTCAACACATCTTACCTACAATTTTTACAGTTGGGGTTGTTCTTTGTTGAATGTTTGTTTTTCTGGTAAAAGGGTGTGTAGACGTCTTGTTCTTTGACTGGAATCTGTTTACTCAGCACACAAGAATGTTTAGAAACTTTGTAATGTTACAAGATCTTCTGTATGGTAGAATTCATTGCTCCTGGACTCTTTTATCAGTCTTCCTTGTTGAATAGAAAATTGAAAACCCTTTTCGCCCGGCATATAACAGTTGGCTCTAGCAGTCTTTATTCATATCAATCACAAAGGCATCAACATAAAAGAGGAAAAAACCATGTTGCTCATGATCAATGAGTTTGTTATCAGGAAATGTGTAAATAATGAAAGTCGAGCAAAGTAATCTTGTTATTATATGATATATGGAAACCACTGTTTAAGCCCTGCAGATGAAGCAAAGAAAATGTGACCAACAGAATAACAATACTACACGGTAAATTATTTGATGCTATCCATTTCAAATATAGTCCCTAAAATGTGCAAAGCACATCCAAAAGCTGGTATCAGATAAAAATAAACTGAATACTGCTATATATGAGAAAGGATCTCCATGGTTTATAGAGTTAGCCCACTTGTTCCTTGATTTTAGTGCTTTGTAGTCTGGTAAATATTGTTATGATTTTTTTGATTATTGCTGAATTTGGTTATCCCTTGCGGAAATGGAAATTTGATTTGAACTCTTGCTTCTTTGGGGTGAACGGATGAGTATGAGCTTGGCTGGTCCATATCGGTTCCACCCTGGTGCCTCCAATGATGAAGATCCGTAATCACACCTGAACTGACTTCAGGTTAGTCAGGCGGAACCAAATTGCAATTATTTGACAGAATCTTTTATTGGCCCTGTTAGAAGGAGCCCCCATGTGAGCTTTTTTAAGTCTTCCCTGTATCTCTTCTTTTCTTTTTTCTTTTTTACTTTTCTTGTTTATAAGGTTTTCCGATTAGGCGATTACCCCTAAAAATATCAACGAAGGATCTGGTTAAAGCATATCATACAAAGATCAATCCCAGGACCTGTTTTAATTGACCATATCTCTGACCCTTCGACATATACAAGTGCCTAAGATGATTTAACTGAAGAAAGCGACACCTATTGCAGATACGTATAGGCTTCCGCAGAAAATCAAGATTGGAATCCCAATGATTGCTGCAAGGTATCCTCTCAATGTGGCGAAAAGGTTTATTTTTCTCCATCTCCATATCATCTCTTCTTTGGATAAATGCAGATTGCTGCTGAGGTCTGCGTATGCAAAATCTGTGCATGTTCTCTTGCCAACTTGAGCGATATTTACACATTGTGGCATTTGCAATCAGATTCTCTCCTCACAAAAAGCAGGGCAGATAAGTATCACATAAATGGAAGATTAAGATTGTCAAAGTAATTCCATTTCAAGAATATTAAGAACGTAATCTCTTCACTCTAGAAGTATCTGAAAATCAGAAAATGACACAATTTCTCGGAAGAGGCTAAATATCTGCTTGGAATATTAAGTCAAATCTATAAAGGCATCAGAATTCAGAGGACGGTGGTGTGATAACATGATTTAGGCTGCAAGTTGATTTAGAGTAGCCCCAACCTATATGGGCCTACGCTCACTAAAATCCTGCAAGTAGACCTCGGTATAGTCTTATTCACATCGTTTAGAGTCCACAGAGCCGACCCCCAAATTTAAGATTTAGCATGACAGGATTGGAAACTTCTGCATTCGGGAAAGCGTGATGCATGATTCCTTCAAATCTTCGTGACGTAGGCTGCTGCGATAGAATAAGGGCGCTATAGTTTCAGAGCCGGTCGACTATAATTGTGTTGGATTAAACAATGAGGAAACGTTGTGAAGGGGCAAAAATAATATCTAAAAATCTAAATTTTCTGAGAAAATAAAGCAGTGTTTATCAAGAATTTTTCAGTGTGAAACACATCATTCTCTGCTTGCTTCTTGCCATCCTGCTGATTTATTCCATTGAAAAGTGTTTCTTGAGCATATTAATTTTAACCCTTCCTTGTTATAATCGGGGGATAATTAGTTCAAAAATGAAGCAGGTTTACCAATTACCAGCACTCACACAATCCATGGCCTCTAGTGTCAACTTGCAGGAGTCATATTCTTGGATGCTGACCACATGCTAATGGGGCTCGCTGTGATGATTGGTTGAAAATTACCGATGCAACTTTCTAGGAATCAGTACGAAAAAAAGTGATGCTGCTGAGATACACCTCCTTACCGATATTTGGAATCCTTATCATTCAGTCTATCCAATTGAAAGTAATATCTGTGGATTCCTTTCTCTCTCAGGACTTGTTCTTTTGACAAGTGGTCCTTCCTTGGAAATTGGAGAAGTTGGTTTTGCAATGATAAGGGTTTAGAACTTCGTAAATCTTTTGGTTTTTAGTAAGTTCTAGTGGGGGTTGATGGTCTCGTAGATTTTTCCTTTTAAGCCCTCTTTATAAGTTAAAGACCACAGAACCAGGAATCTGCAACTTTATTCTGACGGAAAAGAGCCCACTACCTAGACATAGCAAGCCGGCCAGTAGATTTACGTCAGCCGCAAAAGAATAAAGATGATTTTCTTTCCCCCGTGGAATCTTTGAACACAGAAATTTTGGATCGATGGAGTGCATAGTTGGGTCGAATTAGTTAATTTCTTGGAATATCACAGTGAAGGGTCTACCAGAAAACGATAAGCCATAGCCCTATAGCTATAGGGGTATAGGGGAGCATATGCAGAGGGAAAAAGCCTATTTGTCGCGTGAATATGATCTATGCAACCCTTCCTATTAAGGATCACAAGGGCTGTAGCCTGTGTTCCATGAAAAGGGTGAAGCAATAGAGAGAAACACTCAACGTTGATAATACATATGTGGCTTGTATGAGCTGGAAAAGATGTGATGTATTCGCAGGACACGAGCCCATGCAAAAAGATATATGGATAATTAATGACTCCATTGTTTTGTTTTACAACCAATCGCATGACGATGCCGATTCCCAAATGCACCAATGAATTTCTGTCAAGTTGGTCCTAATAGATTTTGTGTGCGCTGAACTGGGGCTTCATTGCAGTTCGAGACAGGGAAAACTATTTCCCCCCACCCTTTCTTTTCTCTTTTTTTCTCTTTCATAATTATTATTATTTTTCTTTTCCTTTTGGAATTTAAGTAAAAATTGTACATGCTGTTAAGCCGTACGCTGATGATTAATTCAATTGTTGGAATATTCAGTGAGACCAAACCAAGATATTGTGGGGCAGAGATTCGTATGTTCTTATGCTGATCTTGTGCTGTCGTTCTGGCTAAAGTGCAGCGTAAAAGTCAATGTCGGTTTCGTGTCTGCTTGGTGATTTTGCAATCAATAATACCACGGAGAAGCTGATGCAATATTTCGTTCTTTGAACTTGACAAGTTCTTTTCCGAACATTATCTTTTTTATGTCCTGCTTCCTTGTTATTCCACAGGAAAATCATGCTTTTAGTGACCAAATCCAGCGTGCAGATAACAAAAATATTCTCACAATCTCAAGGTGTACCCTACGGTCAGCTTACTGATGTACCTTTGGCAAGGGAATGAAGCCAAACCAACTTCAATGTTAGAGAGTGATGTTGCCTCTGCAATGTGACTGAAAGGGGATTTATCACCACAAAAAAGAAAAAAAAATTTGATTCTCGCGAGACTGATGTAATTTATAACAATCTTTGGGCTTTGGCCATTAATCAGTAGTAATATCAGTTTCTTCAAACAAAAGAGTAAGACCTCCTTGTTAAAGGTCATTCCATAATATATATGAAGTTCCATAATAACTGATGTAAGAACCTCTCATGTTATCTAAAGGTCACCAAAGTTCATACTGGTGCAGGTTATACATATGAAGTTGAAATGATGTCAAGGAATGAGGCTTGATTCAGCATAAGAAAATCTCTTGCCTGTGGGCTATGGCTTCCGAACCAGGGTGCGATGCAATTGTTTTTAATTGGCCGAGAAAGTCAATAGCTCCCTGTTTTATACCACATGTCAGCTTACTCCATTTCCTTTCGGTAAAAATTTACAGCTGGTGTTTCGACAGTAGGTCCAGACTTGAAGCCCAGAGCTTCTATGCAAATCTGTAACCAGAAGAGTAGAGAGAGACTGAGGACAGAGGAAATTCATTAGTTTTTCACTATTCAACCCTCTCCAATAGGGGACGTAGGAAGTCGGGAACTCAACCGAAGACGGAAAATGGCCACAAAATAATAATAGCCCATTTCTCTTGTCAACTCTTGATCAGTGACACAGTTTGGGCTTTTCGATTTTTCACTCTTGAGACTTGGGATGGGCTTCTAAAAGCTCATGCATGCTTACCAGGACTCCAATGGGTCAAGAGACTCATTTGGCCCCATCCATTCACAAGAGTAGAAACACCAAAAATGACAACAAAGATCAACCATAAATACATATGTCACTGAAGGAATGTGGGGCGTGGCCCATCACCAGGCAAAACCATGCAAGACAAGGTTAAAGCCTATTAATCCTATAATTGATTCTTTTTTATTAAAGATTATAAGCTTTGTTGTCAAATAGACTCTTATTTTCTCATTATATTATGTTGAATATTATCTGCTGCTAAGAAATTAAACCCTAAATTCAATAGATAATTGGATAAGGAGTTATCGTGATCATCAATTTTACGAATTTATCGAATACCAAACGGACAACTGTAACCGAATGGATAGCAAAATAAACCATTCCAGAATTGGTGTCAACTGTCAAAGGCTTTTCTATCTTTTGATATTTTATGTTAATCAGTGTGGATCATGGCGTTGCTTGCTAGGCGGCGATAAAAATTTAATAATAAAAGTAAATAAAGAATCCGCTCGAATTTGAAAAGAAGATCTATACTTCATTCCATTTTTCAAGTTTAAAGAGTTTACACCTAACGACACCGGCCACAAAAGCATAAGAACCATCGGTCAAAAAAGAGGGAACCCAAAACCCAAACAGTAACAGAGAACCATAGAAGAACCATAACAACATCATCAAAACCAAACACAAACTAAACAACCCAATAAACCCAACCACAACACATACGGCCCAAGCCCACTCATACCCTAATTCTAAGACCTCCAGTTGCCCTCAGAAGCGCCTCCACCTCTAGGGTAGCGCGATCCACCATCACCATATCCACCCTCACGGCGTCCACCTCCGTATCCACCACCGCCATATCCTCCACCATTTCCATATCCACCCTCACGGCGACCACCTCCGTAACCTCCCTCACGGCGACCTCCATATCCACCGCCGCCACCACCGCGGCTGTAACCGCCGTTTCCACCAAAACCGCCACCGCCACCACCGCTTCGGCGAGATTGAGCTTCGTTGACGGTGATATTCCTTCCGTCGAGATTCTGACCGTTCATTCCTTCAATAGCATCTCTCATAGCTTTCTCGTCACGGAAAGTTACGAACCCGAAGCCTCTGGATCTTCCAGTCTCACGATCGTTAATGATCTGAATTAAAAATAATTAAATTAAAAACAAATAAATTAAAAAGGTAAAAGAATATAGATATATTAGAATCGATCGATCTTCGGCCCAGGGGGATGAAGACAGAACGTACCGGTGAGAGATATAAAAGAGAGAATAGTAACAAGAGAGTATCAAGTAACAAGTAGTAACACAAAACAACAGATCAGGGATCACAGATCATAGACAGAGAGGCCCGGATCGGGTCGGATCGAGTCAGATCTGGAGTCCGATCTCTGCACAAACGGACCTTCGATTCGACGATCTCGCCGTACTGACTGAAAGCTTGTTCGAGAGCCCTATCGTCGGTGGCCCAGGCGAGCCCTCCGACGAAGCACCGGAACTCAATATCTGCTGAGGCCATATAGGAAACACTAAAATCCCCTAGGGTAAAAAGAGGGTAGCAGCACCAAAAGGGGAGGATAATTTGGGAAGAGCCGTGAATGAGAAACGGCGAGAGGCTAAAGCATGGTTTTATAGCGAGGATGCGAGGTTCCAATTAGGTTAGTTGCAAGCTGGGTACACTAAATGCGTTTAACTATGGTTAAAGTTTTGACTACAGAATGTTTTGGCTTGTTTGGTTGCTAGCATTGGTCTATCCTTATGTTTAACTATTAGCATAACACGTTTTAAATATACTAATTAATTTATTTCCTTAAAACCAATCATATTATGCAAAAAATATTAAACCTAATTTTTTAAATTTTTTGTTTTTACTATTCCATGAATGTTGTAGGTGAAAAGGGTTTAATATAATCTTTATTATTTGTAAATATATAATCAAAAAATTGAAATATTAGATGGAAATTCTAATTCAGGGCTGAAAAGAATATTCGGAATAAAGTTTTATCCGTGACCATAAACCAACTAAACCAGGGTTAGTTAGCAACGCGGTGACCAGTTAAAGACTGAGATGGTGTCAGGTAGGGTCCACAGTCACATGCTGTCTGAGTAGTTGACGCTCATAAAAGTCTTGATATTTACTTGCCCCTACCTAAATATCTCAAAACCTCTGTCCCTTTTCAAAAAAAATTTAAAATTGTTTTCTTGAATAATTCTTAATATCTCAAAATTTTCTACAAAAATATCTCACACGCTCTCCGTACTTGTCACCGAAGCAAATGGCTGCGTCGATTTGGGAATTGGGATAGAGACCAAAACTACCGAATATTGCTGTCGTATTGTTTTTCTCATGCTGTGTTTTTTTTTTCCATTAAATACACGCAATTATGGTGGGATTTTCCAATGTTTGGTTTCTCAAATATAAATAGTAACATTCCGTTACGTGACAGAAAAAAGAAAGCATTTATATATAGGATAATCTGATAATATATAATTTCTATATATTACCAGTTTATCAAAATATGTTATGTCATTAATGAGATAAAATAAAAAAATTTTAAAAATTTAAAATTAAATATTAAAAATTTATAATAATTAATGAAATAAAAAATAAATTATATTTATTTTTTATCTCTCTCAATTGTTTTTTTTTCTTTTTTTTCTTTTGGTTAAAAGACTCCTCCAATTCTTGTATTATTTAATTTTATTTAATTTACCTCATGTACTCAAAATCGAAATAATTTAATTTTTTTTATTTTAAAAATTCATCAATTTAGTCTCTTCATCTAATAACATTTAATTTTACCATTAAATGATGACGTTAACGATGACGTATCACATTTTGATAACATGATATTTGAGATAATGATGCAGCATACCACGTGGCACTATATAATGACGTTTTATATTTTTATTTTGTTTAATATTTCAAGTTATATTTTTTATGTTGAAATTTCTTACATTAAATATTACATTTATGGTTGATAAAGTTAAATATAACTGTAAATATTAGTATCATTTTATTTTATTAACACATTTTTTGTAGATTCAAATTAATAATTTAAATTTAAAATTAAATAATTAAATTATTTCAATTTTGAGTACAATGACTAAATTGAATAAAATTAAATAGTACAAGGACTGTAGGGGTCTTTTGACCCTCTTCTTTTATATTTTTCTCTAACTCCATGATCTTTTTTTTTTTGTTCTTATTTTTCCATTAAAATTACGTTTTGCAAAATTCTGTAACTTTAAAAGTAATTTTTAAATTCTTTTCTTGTTCTTTAAAAATTGAGAAAACAATATTCATATAAATAAATCTTATTAGTGTAATTTTATTTAGTCCACAATTTTGACTATAAATAATACATTAAGTCCAAAATTGTTCTTTCTCAACCAGTACTAGGTTTTTTTTTTTTCTCTTAGAATGCACTTATAAAACTCCTAATCCCCATCAAAATCAAAATTCTTTTAAAGTGTTATTTTACCATTTTACCAAAACCCATAATGCTAATAAATTTAAACCTTAGATGTTAAATTAAATCAAATGTTTTTTGGTATTTAAACCAAAGTCATTGTTCATATGATATGTTATATAAACATTTTAATTTTTAATTAAGCCCCACGTTTTGAAGATTTTAAATGAAAATCAGTCATATTTGATGAGGTGTTACTAACTATTTTATAAGAGTTTCAAAATTAACTACATGAATTTCTCTTTACAACACCATGAGAAAGGAATGTCTGATATGGCTTCTAACAAAACAACAATTTTGATGTTAAATAAAAGCAAAATTGTTGACGTAATAAAATTTTACGTATAAGATTTATATATTTAAATCTTATTTTCTTTTTTTTTAAAGATACGTTTTCACAATCTCTTTAAAAAAGAATAAAAATAAAAAATTCAAAAAAATAAGAAAAGAATCTAAAAATTGATATTGAAGTTGTAGAATTTTATAAAACTTAATTTTGATGAAAAAAGAGGAGAAGAAGATGACGGAGCTGGAGAGATATGGAAGAAGAGGAGAAGAAAATGATGGATCTGGAGAGGGATAAAAGATGAGAACAAGGAAATAATATCTAAAAGAGATAGAAAAGTAAAAATATTTTTTTATTTAATTAATTATTATAAACTTTTTAATATTTAAGTTTAAATCTTTATAGATTTTTTATTTTACTTCATTAACGAGATATCATATTTTGGTGAGCTGATAATGTATCAATGCATCAAATATTAATCTTTATATATCATTAATAAGGTGTCAAAATTTGATGATTTGATACTATAAACTATACACTATCAATGCATCAAATATTAATTCTTAATATATGTGCTTTTATATTTAAAAATTTATTTAGAAATATATCAATAAGCTGACAAATGAAGGCCCTTACGGCCTTCTGTCATCCAAAATAATACAGTAATAGATAGACTCTAACCCAGCCCAACTGCTCTTTTGTTTGGATTGGGTCTACTATGGGATAAGACTTTTCATTGTCCAAATAACTTAAAAGCCTTGTCATGCTATTTATCCTGGGTCAGGCTCATGGGCCGAGCACTTTGTTGTTGATTTTGTTTTTTTATCAAATCCGGCCTATTGGCATGCAGCTGAGCTAGGATCCCTTCAGCTAGGTTTTGGATAATCAAATATTTTCAAACTTTGACTTCATGCTTATTTGGTTCATTTTTTTTTAATTTATTTACATTTTAAAAGTAAAAGCGAAACTAAATAGGGTTTTATAAACTTGGAAAAATTATTTAAATAAAATTTTTAAAAAATAATTGCAAGAAAAACTTCAAAGAGGAGTTTTATCTTATTTTCTTTTAAAAACATATTAAATTTTTAAGAAATTTCTTTTTTGTTTCAAAAATGTGCTCATATGTTAAAAATAATCTCAACATTATTCTCTCAAACTATATTCCTTTCTCAATCGATCTTTCTCTCCGCTCACCCTCTTTACAAATTACCTTTTTCCAATACAAATTGCGATTTCTTTTTTTTACCTTGTTCTATAAAAACTACTAGAAAAAAAAATCAAACACAATTAGAGTTTGAAGAATAGGTGTCATATTTTATGTAATATGAAGCCATTTTCATTGGTAAAACAGAAAAATATTATTATTACAACAACAACACTTAATAACTACATTAGATAGTGTGAGGTTATAAATGAAGAGTTGGACAAATGCGATCGTAATTCTAATTACATTATTGAGAGTTAAGTATAAAGAAATAATGATGAAGAAATAGATTTATATACTTATAGAAAAGCATTTGATGATAGTTACATTATAGAGTTCGTAACCAAATAGCTGCTACATTGATGAAAAATAAAATAGTTGATTTTAAGTTATTTATGAATTACGTATTAATTAAAAATTATTTATAATTTTTTAATGATTAATTATAAAATATAAATTTTATGTTATAAAATTTTTTTATATATTTTCAAAAATTTTTAAATAAAAAAAATAAAATTAATATTTGTTAATAAAAAAATTTATGATTAATAGAAATTTATTTATTAAACACTTTTTATGATATTTTTAACTAAAATTAAAGTTTATATAAGTTAATTTGTCAAACATCTTATCTATAAAAAAAACTTATAAAAGTAATTTTATCACATAATTTTAACTTAATTTTAAAAATTATTATTTTTCATAAAACCTTCAATGACTTTTGAACTAAAAAAAAATTATATATTATCGTATTTTAATTTTTGACTATTTATGATATTAAAACAAATATTTTGACTGGTCAAATCTCAGTCCGTGGACAACAACCAAAATTGCAAGTTTCTTGTAGCCTTGATCAATGAAATCCGACATAGAAAAAACTTTATTATGTAATTTAGATGGCTTTGCAAGGAAGCCCATGGCAATATTTTTCTGTATTATCTGATAATTAAAAATATAAAAACTTTTGACTTATTAAATTTATATTCATTGTTTTTTTTTTTTTATTTTCCATAGTCATGTTGATTATGTGCTATATATTGTGCACGCGTTATGTATATACATTTTTATTATTGATTTCTTCTCAAATGAAAAAAAAAATCTTTTTTTTTTAATAAAATTGCAGTTAATCAACATCAAGTATTCATTTCTGATCTAAAACCCAATTATATTTCGCTATCATTCATATTCTTTTTGGCATGCGTATTTTAAAAACTATAAAACTTGTTAAGCATTTCATTGACTGGATCAAAAAAAGGGTATACTTCAAATTGTAAACTCTTTTTTTTTTTGGTTGGGATTAAGATCTGTGATGGAAAGTCTACAGTGACTTACTTAGTTTTAATCCCTCAAAATCAATATTCAATCAATTTAGAATCTCATTATTTCTGTTTTGTATTTCTTGACTGCTTCTCTGATCTCATCAATCAAATTGAGGATTAATTAATGCAAATCTTCAATCTAATCTTCTTAATGCCATGTGCATTGAGCATTCTATGTTGAAATCGTAATGCTTTTTGTTCTTAATCTTTTGTCAATATGTAGAGCTGTGAAAGCGATTAAACAACCAAGAAAACGACCCAAACCGGGGGATTCTATCCTACCCAGTTCCGAACTTGAAAATCAATGTGATGATGACGAAGTTCACCAAACCA